TAATCTTGCAAACACTGAATTAAACTCTATACATAATATTATGTTAAAATAGTGGATGTTAAATAGGTTTGTACAACAAGTCCAAACAAGTTTAACCAAAAACTATTTATTTCTTAAAATTATGAAGGGTGGAGGGTTAGGGTTTTATATTTATTGTATAAACCAAAAATTCCCCTCTTTCTTGGCAGTGTTGTGGCGTGTTTTGTTTAAGGAGGAATAAGAGTTGCTTTAAAGTAATTATTAGTATGGATGTAAAACCACAGCTGTAAAGTAGGGTTTACATGTTCAACTGAAGTGTCCTTTGCAGGTTCCTTTACCATTTCAAAAAGTGTGGTTTAACAAAAGAATTGAAAAGATAATCTCTGGTCCTGGTTCCCCCGGGGACTTAAAACCAGAACCCTCTGGTCCCATCTTTTCCCTTCTGTGGGGTTTTTTCCTACTATGGCTCACTTGGTCTTGTAGAGGTGCATGATTCCGTGCACGATCTCCACCGAGGGGTTCCCGCTGAAGAAGGAGATCTGATCTGGGAGCTGTTTGGAGGGGGAGTCCGGCCCGGTTCCCATCAGAGAGCCGCCGTCCTGCGAGGCGGCCATTTCCTCCCGACCTCCGTCCGCCCCGGCCTGCTCCTCTGCTCCTTATTCAGACACAAACACCATAAGGGTCAGAAAATCAGACCGTTTTAAGGGGTTTTCCTGCACTAGTGCCCTCTAGTGGACGGTTGCTTGAAGGAAAAGAGAGGGGAGGAGCTTAAGCTTGCTCAATCCTTTAAACCAGGGGTCTTTCAAGGTTTTAATTAGGGGACCCCTAATTATATATATAGTCTGAAATAGTGTTCTATCAAACTGGTCCTATAGTGTGTAAATGTACCTTGTTATTGAGCATTCAGTACTAAGATCCTCAAATATTCCAGAATACACAATACAATAATACAGACAAAAGGCAGAAAACAGCACAAAAAAAACAGAAAAAGGCAGAGAACAGCACAAAAATAGCAGAAAAACAGCAGAAAAAGACAGAAAACAGCAGAAAAAAAAACAAAAAAAGGCAGAAAACCGAATAAAAATAGCAGAAAAAGGCAGAAAAAGGCAGAAAATCACCAGAAAGAGCCAGAAAAACTGTAGAAAAACAACAGGAAGAGACAGTAAAAGGCAAAAAACAGCCAGAAAACAGTGTGTAAATGTCCCTTGTTATTGGGCATTAAGTACTAAGATCCTCAGATAATCCACAGGTTGATATCTTCCTGTTTTTACTGTAAACATCTGGTTCTGGTTCCTGGATGGTGGGACAGATGTTGTGAATGAAACGGTGCCCATCTTGAAAGAGCTCCTGTGTGATAGATAGATAGATAGATAGATAGATAGATAGATAGATAGATAGAT